TGTTGCTAACAGACAAACAAACAAACAGACAAACGCCGGCAAAAACATAACCTCCTTGGCGGAGGTAAATATAAATATAAAATATTTTAGTAGAAAATCAGCTGAGGGCCAGATTAAAGGACTTGGATGGCCGGATCTGGCCCCCAGGCCGTATGTGTAACACCCCTGTTCTAGTGTATTCTGATTCCTGACCTAGTCGCTGGAGAGAAATGAAATTGAGCAGAGGCACTAGTTGGTAGAAACACCCATAGTGGATAAATGCTAGATAGATGTGTTTAATGTCATACTGTGGAACATTCCAAGCAAAGCAATAACATCTCCATGGACACAGGCAGGTGACGGAGCCTCCACTAGAAAAGTTGTGTGATGCACCTTTAAGCATTGGACCTTTACATTGGAAAATGTGCATCAGTAACGTTCTACAGTAAAGTGGTTGTTTTGCTCCTTACACCAGTCCTCCTGACGCTGCAGTATTTCTCAGTATTTCCCGTCGGTTCGGAGCAGTTTGGGCTCTGACAGAGACTTCCTGTGGTCAGGGAGGAGTGGAGCTCTGTCCTGTGTCTCATGTGGAGATGGGGTATTGTCCAGTGATTACAGCAGGATTAAGACACACTTATCTCCTCACTCTGAGACCCGAGGGACCCGGAGCACAGAGGGCGCGTTCAGGGCCAGCACGTAAACCACAGGAGATAGAAATCTAGTGGTGAGGATGTTTTGAAACCACTGTATTTCTATTAGTATATGGTAAATACTGATATAGCATTGTTATTTTGATGTTTTACATGAGTGAAGTTTTCTTTGAAGGCCTGTACCTGATTTTGAAACACGATTCTGAATCATTACTCATGGTTTTTTGTAGCAGCATAACATATTTTGTATTTCAAGTATCTATATATCTACAAAGAATTGAAAGCAAAATGAATAGATAATAAATAATCTATTATAAAGTTAATTAAGTAAACATTTTTAGTTTTTAGAATGTAATTTTTCTGGTGGAGGGTCTGCCACTCGCTGGTCTCCATGGATCTGTTACCGCTGTGTCTTGATTATTCCATAGTATCACAAATTAAGACAAGTTAAAGGTCAGATCTATGGAGAAGCAAGCCTGCACGTGGTAAGAATTCATGTTTACTATTATTTTTGAGCTATGGGCGAGTTTCATTGTTGACAAAAGCGTGCGTTGCATGCTGGGAATTATTTTGGTCGGCGGCAAGAAACACTAATTCAACATGACGGACGGAGCGAGAAAGCACGTAAAGGGTATTGATCCCGGTTATTTATCCACTCTAACGGCAGAGGACCCAAGACCATTTGACCAGAAATTGATCATAAGCATCGATGGAGCCAAATCACCCTTTTCAACCCCGACAAAAGGTGGAACAAACCAAATTTCTGGTCTGAATCACCAACTACCTGGTCAAATATTCACTTCAGCGATATCCACAATGACTTGGTGGAAACTCCTGGGCCATTCACAGCAGAAAAGATGAAAACCTCCAAGAGTCTCGATGTGTTGTTGAACTTGTTGGAGTCCATGGTTTGTTAGGATCTTCTACGTTTGCTCTGTGAATGTTTGAAAGCCGTTTAATTCACCGTTAGCGGTTCTTTTCACTCGGAAAAGACGAAAAAGACATTTTCCTTCTTCTGTGCTTCTATTTGTGCATCCGAAAATGCAGCACGAATTTACCACTATCAGGGATAAATACGCGAGATTACGCACTGTGTTTGACGCTATCGTGTTTCTTGCTTCCGACCAAAATATTTACCAGCATTACCTTTTAATAACAATGACGTCAGCTGAAACTCGCCTATAAAACACCTGTAATGGAACAAATGGAAGGGAGATATGTTTATGATTGTTTACTGTGGAAAATTCCAGGCAAGAAAATAACATCTCCAAGTGGCAGACCCTCCACTGTAGAGGTTACATAGTGCATATTTAACCTAAACTGTAAAGTCAGCGGATTGTCCTTTTGTTGTTTTGTTTGTCTCATCAGCTAATGAGGAAACAGATGGAGGATCCAGATCCAGAGCTGATCCACATGATGAGAAGCCCACTTAAGAGTTTAAGCTCCTGCAGTGACAGTAAACCCACCAACATCCACATTTCACCTCGGACTCCAACTCCACTCAGCATTTTACTAATTACCACCATCTCTAATAAGTGTCCAAAAATATCTAAATATCAAAATATCAATATATCGTGTCATTTAATGTGATGATACCATTTCGATATCGTGGGCTGCTGTATCAATATATCACCAAGAGTATTTTTTTGGTAAATTTTACTCAATAATTTTGTTAACAGAGCTACAGTTTTGTTGTTTGTTTAGTGGAAGGAAACTTGTTTATGCGACACATTTGACATTTTCACAGTTTTGATGATTAAAATGTTTGTGTTTCATATTCACTTTGCACAAGAAGCGGTTTAACAAAGACTTTTAGTATCACAGACGTATTGAATTGATTTGAAATATATCGTATTGAATCGTATCAAATCAAAAGCTCACTGTATCGAGGTATGTATCGTATTATGGCCCATGTATCGAGATATGTATCGTATTATGGCCCATGTATCGAGATATGTATCGTATTATGGCCCATGTATCGAGATGTATCGTATTATGGCTCATGTATCGAGATATGTATCGTATTATGGCTCATGTATCGAGATATGTATCGTATTATGGCTCATGTATCGAGATATGTATCGTATTATGGCCATGTATTATGTATTATCATGTATCGAGGTATGTATCGTATTATGGCCCATGTATCGAGATATGTATCGTATTATGGCCCATGTATCGAGATATGTATCGTATTATGGCCCATGTATCGAGGTATGTATCGTATTATGGCCCATGTATCGAGATATGTATCGTATTATGGCCCATGTATCGAGATATGTATCGTATTATGGCCCATGTATCGAGATATGTATCGTATTATGGCCCATGTATCGAGATATGTATCGTATTATGGCCCATGTATCGAGATATGTATCGTATTATGGCCATGTATCATGTATCGTATTATGGTCATGTATCGAGATATGTATCGTATTATGGCTCATGTATCGAGGTATGTATCGTATTATGGCCCATGTATCGAGATATGTATCGTATTATGGCCCATGTATCGAGATATGTATCGTATTATGGCCCATGTATCGAGATATGTATCGTATTATGGCCCATGTATCGAGATATGTATCGTATTATGGCCCATGTATCGAGATATGTATCGTATTATGGCCCATGTATCGAGATATGTATCGTATTATGGCCCATGTATCGAGATATGTATCGTATTATGGCCCATGTATCGAGATATGTATCGTATTATGGCTCATGTATCGAGGTATGTATCGTATTATGGCCCATGTATCGAGATATGTATCGTATCGGCAGCTTCTTAATGATACCCAGCCTTAATCTCAGCACATTTTCACTCATTTATTCATTTTACTTGCTCGGGTAATGTTTTTGTATTGATTTCGTAAATTGGGAATGCACCAATCCAGTATTTTCAGTTCCGATACTGATACTGATACCTTGGCTTTAAATATCTGACAAATACCCATCATGAACAGATAAGAGTGCAGGGATGGGAAATGGTACTTTTTTTTTTTTTTTACAGTTAACTTAACTTAAATACAGTTAACTTATGACAGTAAGCCAATAGTGTTCTGTATCTGTTATTTAGCCTTCAAATCACTACTGAACAGCTTTGTATGAATTAAAATCAATCATTATGAGACGTTTCAGGCCAAAACCAGCCAGTATGTCTTCCGGCGCACCCATACTAGGACTTTAGAACACACACAACTTTACAATATGAGCCCTGTGTGTCCGCTGATGTTACTTAGACGAGGAAAACAGTGAATAAAATCTGTCCATAAACACCTGACAAACCCACGTTCACCTTCTGTAAGGACTGACAGAAGTTTAACTGCCTCTACTCTCCGGCTGTCTCCATAAATTCACGTAGGAGTGCATATCTGTCTCACTATTTTATAGATATTTCTGCCGATAATAGATATTTTCTCCACTAAAAGCGTTAGCAGACGTAAACAAACAGTGTTGTGTGATGACGTCAGCAGGTCGTGGCCCAGTTAGGATATGCAAGTGTAAGTGCGGAACATAGAACCCTATACAGTCTTGCTTGAGCACTGTACAATTCTAAATCCTAGTGTGAGAATGCTCTTATTGACCAATCAGGATCGGACCAGCTTAACCGATATCATGGAACTGATACCCAAGTCCAAACTACTCCTGGAGTTGTGTTTTTCATGGTTGTTAATATTGATGGAGGACGATGTGCCAGACATTGTCCAAACTATGACCCAGTGGCCAAATGCAGCCCTCAGTCCAGTTTTTTTGCTTGTCCCTCAGGCTTCCAGGTGAATCAGCCCTTTTACCTAAGTTTATGTGTGTCTTATTGAGGATCTAAACATGAATAAAGGTTATAAAAACACATATTTGAATGAATCAGTGTATTGACCACCAGTATATAGACTTTGATTGGCCCTTCATCAGTGTTTTGATGAAAAAAAGTCTGATCGCCCTGATGTATGCGAATTAGGGATGTAACAATAACCGAAATATCGTGATATCGTATCGTCAAAGTTCTCACAATAATATCGTGGACCATCACAATATATCAAATTACAAGTATATTTGAGTTATGGTGCAACAATAGCTAAAAAAAGACAGAACTACATAGACCATGATCCTTTGCTCCATTTCAGTGCAGACTACAAGAAGAAATAACAGTTCTAACACTTTTAAGTCTTAGTTCTTTGGATTAAGTCTTGTCAAGGCATTTTAAGAGGAAAAACAACATATTAACAGTTTTAGCCTCTACAAAATATCGCAATAAATATCGTACCGTGAGATGTATATCGTGAAAATATTGTAGAGATTTGGATATTGTTACACCAATAATGTGAGTGTTTTATAGTGTCTTTTGTATTGTGTATTGCGTTGCCATGGTACCTGTCCATAGTCGGTGGAGAAGACGACGACTCCACCAGCGCAGGACGACACGGTGCTGGGCAGGTACTGCTCATCCTCCCGCAGCCACACCCGCTCCCCCTGCAGGCAGCACACGGAAATGCACGGTTAGTTCCAAGGTAATCAAACAGAGTGACGAAGCAGGACTAATCTTCAAGACAAATACGATCAGTCTTAGCAGGTGATAAGTATAAAGAAGTATAAATAAGTACAAATCACAATCAAATTAAAATCACAAACAGAATGGACACAATATCAGCATTATAAACAAAAATATAGGCAAAAAAAAAAGAGATACTTGTATTTGAACTTTACTTGGGAAAATTCCTCTGTTGCAACGGAAAGTTCAAGAACAGCCAGACACTGAAAACACGCAATCCAAAATTAAAGCTGCATTGTGTCATTTTTCTGGTGGAGGGTCCATCAAATCTCTCAGTCAAAATGTTATTGCTTTGTCTGAAATGTTCCACAGTATGGCATTAAACCTTTCTATATTCATGGAAACCAAACCAGACCAAGTTACAGGTCAGATCTGTGGAGAGGAGACCCAACTCAGTCAGAATGTCTGTTTTTGTTGGTATTTTTGAGCTCTTAAACCACCTGTAATTGGTTAAATGTAAAGTAGAGCTGTTAATGTCACATTGTGGAACATTCCAGGCAGAGCAATGGCAAAATCATCGAAATAAGCAGGTGACAGACCCCCAAACAAAAAGTTAAATAGTGAACCTTTAAGAAAATTAGCCATTTCAAAATAAATACAAAAAGTCAACAATACAAAATCTGAAGTAAACAGCCTAAATTGTCCCCAAAAATAAACTAAACAGCTCCTGCAGTGTCTCTCTAACCAGATCTCGACGCCATGTTTTGTGTTTTGCAGGAGATGAAGCCCTCAGACGACACCATAGCCGCCTCTAAACGCCGTCGCCGTGGAGACAGCACAGTCATGACCTTTTTTATTTGCTTAGAGCGGGGCAGCGTGTGGGTTTGGTTCCCCTGTGGGCCAGTAAACTCTGTGTTTATGGATGCTCTTAACTACCCACTTGCCTCCTGCCGGCTCGCTCCCCCCGGCAAACAGCTGGACACTTCAAATTTCACACGCTTATTTTGGATTTCAGATAGTTTTGTTGTAAACATCACTGTTGGGTGAGTTACTTTAAAAACTGTAATGTGTTATTTCTGACTTGTTACTGTCATTTGTTACATTACAATATTACTGTGTTTAAAATGGAAGGCATTACACGACTACTGCAGTACATTTAAGTTACTCTCACCAAAATAACTGCGAAGATGTTGAACTTTTGCGCCGTATATGGACTAAACCAGGACTGAACCAGGACTAACCAGGACTAAACCAGGACTAAACCGGTACTAATCTTGGACTAGAACTTGGAATCTAGAACTGCCCCTGAGAGAACCCAGAGTCCATGGAACTGGTTGTCTGCAAGGCGCGATCCGGTGTCCGCTGCGGTTCACCCCCGTCGAGTACTGCGCCGGTCCTTACGCTCGTGGTCACCAGACGGTTTATGCGGGCGTGTCTCCGGCGTTTCACCTCTGCTCATATCGCGGTGATTTTAGCTAATTTGTATGAAGAAAAACTAAAAACCCACCACTTCAATCCAAGTTAAAAAAAAACATTATGACGACATTTGTACGGAGTAAAATATTACAGGTTTTTCCTTGTAATGCCACATTACTGTGTTACAGCAAAAAGCAATGCACTATAGTCACTCGTTATTTTTATAACACGTTACTCCCAACACTGGTAAACATTTGAGGATTTGGAAAGTACAATATTAACAATTAACTATTCAACTCTTCAATCCCTGATCTTGGGAATCGTTGCCAACACAGAAAGTCTGGCTCTTTGCTGATTGGCTGATGCCCGAAATCGCACTTCCGGGGTTTTTGTGAACCGTCTAGTGCAGGCATGTCTAAAGTATGGCCCGTGAAATTCTTCTTGGCCCTCAGACTTCCAGGTGAATTGGCCCAAATTACCTTGCATCAGTTAAAAATGAACTTTTGACACCTTGATAAAGCTAATATTGAATATTTAGTGTGTGGTTTTAAGGATCTTAGCATGAATAAAGACTGACGACTCATTCTAATGTGTTAATAATGCACATATTTGAATTATTCTTTATATTCAGCACCAATCTACGGCCCTTGATCAGCCCTTTGTTTTGTCTGTGTTTAGATACGTGGCCCTTGATGAAAAAAAGTTTGGACACTCCTGGTCTAGTGGATTCTGATTCCTGATCTAGTCTTTGGAGAGAAATGAAATTGAGCAGAGGCACTAGGTGGCACCAGCCTGGCCACCCTGTCCCAGCAGATTTATACAGAACCACTGATTTGTCCCAGTTTTATACAAGAAATGTCCCAGGTGTCCCTATTTTTGACCAATCTGATCCTCGCAAACAGTAAAGAGACACATACACTGTCAACGGTTTAGGTAAAATACAGAAAAGGTGCTAAAAAATGACAAAAACACAAAGAAAATGTGACTATACTGACTCACATTAGAGAAAGCACAGAACCATTTTTCTTAATTACGTACTCATTTCACAAGTTTATTATTGCCAACCCAAAGCAGAGATGTCCCAGTTTTTGAACATCTGGTCACTCTACCGCATGTCTGCCTCTTTTGGAATTTACCACAGGCTAATTCAAAACAACAACATAAACATTTTCGCAGTAAAAGTAAAATGTGACTCTAGTAAACCTCACACTCTGTCAGAATGATGGCCTGAGTGTCGAAGTTCACGTCAGCATTAACCTGTCACGCTAATGAACGACAGCGCATGTGGCTTCGCGATTAGCCCAGGATCCACTCGCAGGGCCCCAGACGGCACTCACAGGGCCCCACAAATGTTTCAGCACGGACAGCTTTAAAAAGGCTCAAATCCATAAGTCACATCCAGATGAGCGACATAAATAAGGACTATGAAGGACAACGGTGAGACAGCTGAAAACCATCCCACAATACTTTGGATCTTTTCCTAATGCTATATGGAAACTTTGGAAGACAATCTGAGACTTTAAAACCCGAACATGTCTAGGCAGCAACGTGCTTATAAATAGTCAGTGGAGACGCTACTGCTCTGCCTGTAATGTTCCACAGTATGGCATTAAACGCACAGAAGATGCATTTATTCAATTCTGGTTGTTTGTATTGCTCAAAATCGCCTTTAAAAACATGTATGCCTCTTCACAGATCTCACCTGTAAACAGTGTTGGGGAGTAACGGATTACAGGTACCAGGATTATGTAATCAGAGTACAATTTATGAGTAACTGTATTCAGTTACAGTTACTGTTTCAGTGAGTGGTAATTGGATTACAGTTACTGTGTCAAAATAAATGGATTACACAGAGGTATTTTCCTGTTTTCACATTTTGGGCTGAACCAGGACTAAAAGCAAGACTAAACTAGGACTAAACTGGGACTAAAACCAGGTCTAAACCAGGTCTAAACCAGGACTAAACCAGGACTAAACTAGGTCTAAACCAGGACTAAACCAGGTCTAAACCAGGACTAAACCAGGTCTAAACCAGGTCTAAACCAGGTCTAAACCAGGTCTACACCAGGTCTAAACCAGGTCTAAACCAGGTCTAAACCAGGTCTACACCAGGTCTAAACCAGGACTAAACCAGGTCTAAACCAGGACTAAACCAGGTTTAAACCAGGTCTACACCAGGTCTAAACCAGGTCTACACCAGGTCTAAACCAGGTCTAAAACCTTGTCTTCCTCCTTCTCAGGCTTCATTTACACTGAAACGAATCACCATATCAAAAACGATGTGTGTCCAGACACACTGTTTGTGTCCACAAGCCTTCCCTGTCCACACAGCTTTGAGCATATTTGTTTACATTTTACAGTAACAAAACTTAAAACCAATGGCTAATTTGCATAAACTAAGCACTCAGAAAACAGCTCGCTCTTGTGCACTGATGTGGTTCATCTTCTGTCGGACTAAAGGACACGACTCAGTGGAATATGAGTGTTCTTTCTGTGACAGAGGGGTGTTCTGTTAACCATGTCTGAAGTTGCAGCAGCCAATTTTGAGCAGAGGAAGATGGCAAACGTGAAAACAAAAGTCTTTTCGTGGACCATGTACTAGCAAGTAGTTGTAGCTCCGCTGTTTCCTGTTTGTCTCTGGTTTGTTTAAACTGTTTTCTGCAATAGCGTCACATGACCAATGTGACGAACCCAGCGAATCACAAAGGTGAACGTCACAGTGACGTGGTCCAATAAGGACGCGACTAGAACTCCTACATCAGAGTATCAGTGTTTTCAGGCGAACACACAGTGCTGGATCAGATCTGTACTCAGATGAATTCGTGGGAGCTGGTGGCACCAGATCGTTCCGTCTATGGAGCCGTTTTCCATCAGATTAGTGTGAACGAACACTGCATCCACAACCAAAACAACTTGAATATGAACTAGTGTAGGTGGGGCCTCACTCTCCTCATTAAAACAAATAATCTGTTCATGTTCTGGCTCCGGTACAACAGCAACTTTAAAATCTCCAGGTGCTCAATGCTGCGTCCATGTTTAGATGACTTCCGTAAACATTGGGTACGCTGCCTGTGTGTGACGTCCAGTGTTGGGGAGTAACAGATTACATGTACCAGAGTTACGTAATCAGAGTGCAAATTATGAGTAACTGTATTCAGTTACAGTTACTGTTTCAGTGAGTGGTAATTAGATTACAGTTACTTGGTTGAAATAAATGGATTACACGGCGGGATTTTCCTGTTTTCACATTTTGGGCTGTATCCCTTTTTTTTTTTTTTTTTTTCGGTAATTCCACTCATTGCCACACAACTAAACCACGTCTAAACCAGATCCAAACCAGGTCTAAGCTAGGTCTAAACCAGGTCTAAACCAAGACCAAAACCAGGTCTAAACTATATCTCAAACAGGATTTAACAGGACTAAATCATGCTGCATGGACGTGTCTCCTCGTCTGTCAATAATATTTTTAATTTGGTTGAGTAAAGTCTGGGCTTTTTATTTTCTTCTAACAGACAAAACATCTTATGTGAAGATTTCCTTCGTCTTTGCTTCTCCACAGCAAATC